TTTACACAGTATTTGTCTTTAAAAATTCTTTTGTTCGCAAAAAAAGTCCACTAAAAATAGAGCAATGAAAAGAATTCAAATGAGTTTGTATTGTATTGCGTATGCAAATTCAATTCACTAATTTATTGTAATTTGAACTGATCATTCTTTGCATAGAAAATAAATTTGCCAAAGGTTTCACTGATATAATTGAGCATTTACTGGCTAATTACTAGTATTATCAACCAATTAATGAGCTTTAATTACGTGTTATTTTCGCGTAATCACAATTCTTTTCATTATAATCACTAAAATATATAAAGCACAAACAAACATCAACTTTGTTATATGCTATTTATTGCAAATAAATAAAGAAATTTAAATTATTATTATTATTATTATTATCATTATTATTATTATTCAGAAAATCATTTACGAGCAAAGTTCTAATGCGTAACGAAAAACCTGCGTATTTTTGTTATTTTTCTAAATTCAAAACATAAAAATTGAATGTGCTTCAGTGGAATCTGCAATATGCATGACTGTTGTTGCTATTTAACTGATTCATTTGCTACAGTTTAGAACCGAGAAGATATATATTGTAAGCATATTTCAATAATTAGTCTCAAATAAAGCTCAATGATACAAATAATATTAATAGATAAGTTATTAATGATTTCTGCGTTCACAAGTAGTACTCCCAGTGATCATTAAAAATATGGAAATTATTTCTGCCACATTGATTTCTGGTTTGTTAGCAAAAATTTTTGCAAATTGATTTTGGACTTATAAAATTTAATTGTTTGGTTGTTGTGTAAATGCTTACATCTGTTTGAATTTGATATCTAACTATCTATTATTATGACTAAATAAGTGGTTAATAAATTCATGAATATTCATTCATTTGTGAAGCTAAGCAGATGCTGCAAGAATCCAACAAGTTATGACAAGCACTGATGTAATGTATTGAATAATCTTTACAATTTGATTTACTGCAGATGAAATGTGCAAATATATATTCAGACAGGAAATCAGCTTTCCGAAAGTTTTGCTAAGCAATTTCCGTTACAAGTCGAGCAGAACAAGTTTTTCCTTTTACGCAAAAAAATTTTTGGGATTAAAATTTTCATTATAGATTACAAATTTTTACCGGAACGTAATTTTTATTCTTTCAAATTAATTGCAAAATTGTTAGAGTAGAAAATTCCAATTGCAGAGTAGTTTGTTAGAGTGTGAAATTCTGATTTTTATTGGTATCATCGCATAAAGTTTGTGAAAGTTCACAGGTCTGTAAATATGCACATATAACTTTGCAAAATTGTAAATATATGACCCAAACCATAGTGAAATAATCCATTCATATTATGTGTAGAAATTCATCTTGGTTTTAGTTATGAGTGCTAGTAATCTTGACTTTCATACTTAGAATTATTTGAGTTGAATGCACGGATAAATAGTGATATGGGACAACATTTTATTTGATAATTGTGTTTTTTTTTTACTTTTTTTAATTTAGAAATAATGACGAAACGTCGTCCAACAAACAAGAAACCCACCGGGGCAAATCGATCGTTAGGAAATTGTTTATCAAAGGAATGTGAAAAGTCACTACAAAGACATCGCAAGAAGGAAGAAGGATATGGTGCAGAGAATATTACTGAAATGAATAAAGTTAGGACGTTTTAAGTTCTTTGCTAATTTTGAGCTGATTGGGTTTTAAAATGGTAGTGTTATGTAGCTCACCAAAGATCTTTCAGCAGCCAAATTATTTACACTTTTCATGTATTTGTGGTACTTACTTTTCAAATTTCTTCTTTTAAAGAATGCAGCACAAATTATTGAATCAGTAACCGATGAAACTGGATTGGAGGAATTTCTAGCTAAAGTGGAATTAGCGGGGACAAATTTTGCTGCAGAAAGAGATTTTCGTTTGCTGAATTTGTTTGTTTTTTACTTTTCTGACTTGTATCTGTAACTGTTAGTGTTAAATTCTCATTTCAATTTCCATCTCAAATCTTGTAGTAGACGATTTTTGAACTTTTGCTGACAAAGAAGCTGTCTTGATTTTGAATAATATGATTCATATGTCAATTTCTTGAAAAAAGGTTTGAAAATTTTATTTGTTTTATGTTTCCAGAACTTTTCATTGTTCAGGGAAGGTTCAAAAACCATTGTAAATACTGTAAATTCGGCGCAGACTTTGGAGGATTTATACAGCAAATATGGCGATCGACTACGTATTCCTCGCCGACCTTCAAAGCACATGTGGGAAACGCCAGAAGATCTCATACGTTTAGAAAATAACTCTTTCTTGGAGTGGCGTAAAAACCTTGCCGATTTACAAGAAGTTTGCATTTTTAATTGAATTTCAGCCATTGAAGAAATACTAAAATGATAAGGTCGTCGCACTTTATCTTACTATTTTATTTAACTTTCATTTGTGACCTTTCATTATATTGGTCCTGGTTTCTCATGCCAGTTCTTGTACTTAATAATATATTATTTGGTTAATTTTGAGAGTGATGGCGTTCTCTTAACTCCGTATGAGAGGAATTTGGAAGTATGGAGACAACTGTGGAGAGTCATTGAGCGAAGTGATATTATTGTACAGGTTAGTTTATTTTGTTAATGTGCTCTATACTGAATATTATTTTGATATGTAAAGTAGTTTTTTATTTTTCTGAAAAAATAAAGTACATTCGTATTAGATTTTGGATGCGCGAAATCCGTTACTATTTCGAAATATCGATCTGGAAGCTTATGTTAAGGAATGTAATATTTCAAAGCAGAATTTATACCTAATTAACAAAGTTGATTTACTCTCGGAAGAGCAAATTGAATCATGGAGGAATTGGTTTGCCAAAAATAACATGGATGCTGTTTTTTGGTATTTCGCTTTAATTTAAAGACTGAAAAATTGCTGTACTGCTTTTACTGTATACAATCTTGATATGTTTCTTAGGTCTGCTCTGGATTCTGAAACTGTTGCTAGTGTAAATATCAAAGGAGAGTTTGAAGATTGTGACTCAAACGAGTCGTCAAGCAATTTAGAATTTGCAATAGAAAAAACACACGATGAAGCTCAAATAGAATCATCTGAAAAAGCGGATATTTACTGCAAGAACGAAAAAAACATTAGCAATTGCAAAAGAAAAATATCAGGAAACAGTGACTCACTAGAAAAAATTCCAGTTTTGCATACTAGTACGGTATGTATTATTTAACCATGATCATTTTCAGTAGATTTAATTTATTATAGGTGAATTACTTTTACTAGTATCTTTTTTTTTTTGCTTCAAGTTCTTATTATCAATTAATAAATGCCCTTTTTCATGGGTTCGGTTCTCGAGAGCACTCTAAATTCTTTCTTTCATCACAAAAGATTTTTTTGTATTGGACATGTTTCAGGAACTGTTGACATTTTTAAAATCACGAGGTCATATTCGGGAAGATGTCATCTATGGGCGACCTCTTGTCATTGGAATGGTTGGTTATCCCAATGTAGGTAAAAGTTCTACGATTAATAAAATACTGAATCAGAAGAAAGTATCAGTTTCAGCTACCCCAGGGAAAACACGACACTTACAAACATTATTGGTTGACGACACAGTAATTCATTATTCATTATTCGAAATAAATATTTCAAATGATAGTTTTAGTTATTTCTGTGCTCAAACCAAATCACAGTAAAGCATACGGTGTTAAATTGTATGAATGAGAATAATTCAAAATTTCTTCTTTATTTTGTTTCTGATAAAAACGTTTCTTTTCCATCTAGTCATTATGATTGTAGCATAATTTGTTACCTATAGTTGCAGCTTAATTTCACCAATTTGAAAAGGCCTCAGTACTGTACTTAAATATATTGTGTTACAAAAGTGTATTTGCACGTATTTTTAGTTAGTTCTGTGTGATTGTCCGGGACTTGTCATGCCGTCATTTGCATTGAGTCGAAGTGAGATGATTTTAAATGGAATCCTTTCAATCGATCACATGCGTGAATACATATCTCCGGTGACACTGTTGTTATCACGGATACCACGCAGATATTTGGAGCACACTTACTCGGTAATGCTGACGAGTAGTGATAGCACTGATGACGGTAGCGAAGCACCGCTTAGTGCACATGATCTACTCACAGCAATCGCTTTTATCAGAGGTTAAAATTCATATGTTTATTGCACTTTCAAAGCACCTGATCTTTAAATGTTTACAGTAGACGTGATTCAGTAATTGTAGGTTATATGTCATCCTCGGGTGTAGCAGATTGTTCACGAGCAGCTCGTTTAGTATTAAAAGATGTTGTGAATGGCAAAGTCAAATGGGTTGCTGCGCCACCAAATATCGATCAGAAGGAGTTTGATAAACTAACGTACGATATTCATGCAAATGGAGATTCAATGAAGTCTAGGCCAAATAAGGGAATCATGCAGCAGGTGCGTTTACATATGCTTTCTATTATTACCGATAAATATTTCACTAAACTTTTAGATCCCAGCATAGTCATGTTATTTTCAAGTGAAGAAGGAAACGAAAATTGGTTTCATCGATATTTTTAACACAGTCGTATTCTTGATTTTTTTTGCAGCTTGAAAAACGCCATTTATTACAAGATATGAAAGCTTCTGACAAATCCCTTGACGAGCAGTTCTTCCATGGTCATTCAAAGGGGCAGGCCCATATACGTTCTTTGCGTTCCCGTCCAAAATTAGGATTGCTACTAACGGATGAAAATGTGCTGTTGAAGAAGCATTTCAACAAAGGTAAACGTGAGAAGTTGCGGAGGATTTTCGATTAGTTCTAATAAGAATCTAACTTTGGAAGTCAGATATTTAGAAGAGTTGTGGATTTTACTCATTGCTGTTCACAAACAAGTTCTGGTACTAGTAACTCAGCCAAAAAATGCACATGAAATCTCGTTTTCTTGCTAACTGTATAATTGTTATTCTTGGCAGATGTTTGTTGAAAAAGTTATATTCATATAAAAAACAACGTTGGTGAATAAAAATCATTATTTGTTTCATTGAATTTTTGTTTGTATAAAGTGTCTTTTCCACTTCATCTTATGTCTATGATTGATTCCTACATACAGGAAGATAAGAACCAATGTTAAGCTTCTTTAGGCCAAATGCTGTACTATTTATACCATTTCATTTGTTTCGGAGCCTTATGCCTTGCTATTTATTCATTTGGTTTTCACGATAATCATGGAGTAAATTCTCTTGTTTTGTTCGTTTTAAAATTAGAAATAAGGAACCACATTGTTCTATCACATAGTTGATGTAACATTACTTCCTAAGAATGACATGAATTGCGAACTCGAGTAGGATGGTTATTGGAAGGCTTCAGAACTAGAAATTTGGTTATGGAGAAGGTGGAGTGCAAGAGTTAGAAAGTACTAACTATTGCACTCTGGGTGTGGTCTGAAACTATTGCATTGTGACGCACCGCATCACGTTTTAGGTAGAAGTGTTTTGTATGCTAAAGTAATAGTTTTCAAGGATTTAGTGATGTTCAATTAATGGTGTGGTCTGTTGATTGAGCACTTTTGCTTCTTAATTATTCGATATTTTCTTTTACCAAATTGGAATAGTATTTAGTAAAATGCTATCAAATTATATCCTTATTCCAGGCCCAAGTATTGTAAAAAATGGGAAAGATAATGAAAACAGGGAAGGTGGTGTTAGTGTTGGGTGGTCGTTTTGCAGGTCGTAAAGCGATAATTGTGAAGGCGTATGATGAAGGATCAAGTGATCGAGCTTACAGTCATGCCGTGATAGCTGGCATTGATAAATATCCTTTGGCGGTTAGTTTATCTGCTTAATCATTGTGGGTAGTAGTTAATTATATAAAGTGGTCAGGGAAAATACACAAGTACTGTAAATTTTTGTATTCCTAGTATGGTTTTTCAATTATAATTTTGAGATTTGAGAAAATAGATGATATACAGTAAAAATAGTCAAACTGTAGCTGTGGACTTCGCATAGTCATTAGATCTGCAAATTTATTTAATTTTTAACAAAATTATTATTACTTTCTCTAACTTAATGATTTTAATCGGTGTATTAATTATATTGGTGAACTCCTCTTTTTTGAAATGAAATATAAAAAATTTCTAATGGAGACTCTGTGATGCATTTTTCTGCATGAAATCAATTTGTGTGACCACTGTAATAGATTTCTGAACGTATTTTTTCTTGCGAATGATGATAAAGTTCTTCCGAAAAGATCCATTTCACTACTGTGTGGAAAAGGCTTTTTAACTCTGACGCATTTGAAAATATTGCAAGATTAGTGTCTGGTAACCGTAAGCAAGCCATATTTTGAACAAGCGTGAGTTTATGGTATAGGTTGCTAATATTTCAAAATTCATAGTGCAAATTTTTATTTCCGACTTTTAGAATGACAGTTGAAGCTCGCTACGAACAATATGATTGTTACTACGTAGTTATTTGATACTTTGCAATTCTTTTTAGGAAGCTTAATGAATATAATTTGTAATGTGAAAATTGGCTACAATTTATGCTGTATATTTATTGAATTTTTATATTTGTATATCACATATGAAATATAAGTTTCAGGTTACGAAGCGAATGGGTAAGAAAAAAATCAAAAAAAGGAGTAAGCTGCGTCCATTTGTTGGTATTGCTAGCTATTCTAATTTACTTCCAACTAGGTTTGTTTGACATTTGAAGATGATATTTTTATAAACTGTATTCTCATCAGTGTGAAGATCGGTGAAGCAGGATATATTTGTTGTACCACTTTGAGCAGTATTGTCATTTGTGAGCATATCAGAAATTTGGTACTTTGAATCATGAAATCAGAAATAAGTGCGCGAATGATTGGAATTTGATACCGAGAAAGATCCATTTTCATGTGGGTAAAGCTTTTTAACTCTGACGCACGCTTGTTAAGATTTCTGCCGTTTAAGTTTGTAGGCCACTTTAAAAGAACGATGTTGGAAAGATTTGTGTTTTATGCAAATGTCAAACATATTCTAGATATTCAGTCGATGTGGTATTAGATAAAAGTTTGGTTAATAAAGAAGTCCTTAAAGAGCCAGGAAAAAAGAGACGAGCACGCATGGAAGTGAAGTCGAAATTTGAAGAACGATATAAAACGGGCAAAAACAGATGGTTTTTTACGAAGTTGCGTTTTTGAAGATGTTTCACCGACTTCATTTTTGTTAAATTTATGATAACTGCAGAATGAAGAATTTTAATACTTTTCATTCAAAAGGTCTGTTCAAGGAAGTGTAAATCTCACATGTCACAACTATTACGTTGAAGACTGGATAAAGCTACTGTATATTATACGCATTCATGTATTGTTTTAACTATGATATATTGTTCCTAATAGGTCATTTCTTGCGAAGTAGTTAAGATTAATTTATCACCGTTTAAGTTTTGGAAAAATGGCTCCATATATTCTCCTTAGCAGTAAATATTGATTGGTGAGTTTCTTAAAAGAAATACTGAAGTGCCTTACGAATTCATGCCGCAGATTTTCATAAACAAATATCAGCAAAGGAATGATGAAAAAAAGATCACTGAAGTTTAATCATCTTAGTTCAGTGAATTTCAGTTCTAGTGAATATGTAGGTGTAAATGGATTTTGCAGCAGGTATTGCACATACTTTTCAGAAATTGGATTAAATGACCATATGACTTAAGAGTGGCTTCTACTGAGTTTCTCACGATACACAAATTGATTTGAATGGTAGAACATATGGTATGCAAGGAAGTTTGTGGGTTTTGATTCTTGAAAAAGTGGTTAAACATTTAGTGATGTTAGTGCAGGGCAGCTAAATCAGTATGAGGAAGGCCATTTAGAGTACATGAGTACAGTCCAAAGGACCAGTAACAGTAAGTGATGCTAGAAAATAAATGACTCCACTAGCGAGCTACAAAGTGTCAAAACGTCTTTACACTTATCAAACTAACGAAATTGAATGACTGGAAGTGATCGGATTTCCTGAGCAGATAAGAGGATGGAGTGACGCTTAGAACGTGTGTTTGATTCAGTAGTTACATCAGTGTACTGGCAATTCATGTGGAAGACTTTCTCATTTTATTACTAGTGGTCGAGTGACGGAAATATAGTTTACTTTCTATTGATCAGATAGATCATTGTAGTTTTGATAATGTGGAACAACTGCATTGACTTCCAGCATTTGGATTGCAGTGTATTTACATATCACGCAAGTAGTTGGGTTCTCTAAAACATTAAATGCTTTTAAGTGAAAAATTCAATTAGACTTGGCTATATTTTTCTTCTTGAAGACATACAATGACTCGTAATAGTATGCCGGGCTGAAGACGTACCGTGCTGCGAGACAGTACAGTCCATGTTTCAAAAGTACGGGTCACTATTTAAAATAATATCGGGAAGAGCGGGATAATAATTTGGCACTCAGTTACTCAAAGCTCTAATTTGCAAATTTTAGCCTCCTTGTTAGTTTGAATCAAGTCAATCAAGCAGTAAGTAATTAATAAGTTTTTTTCTCACTAAGAACGAAGCAGAAATTTCTGGAACAAAGAAAAGCAAGCACATTCTGTAAAGAATGCTAGAAATTTTGAGAAAAAACAGAAGAACAATGAAGCAGTGCTTTCGTCTTCCATCGAATCATACATAAAGTATTCCCATGATTATTATCAAATAAAAAACAAAAGAATCAGAACAAGAAGTTAAAAAATAGACGGCAGCAAGGTAACAAAAATAGTAGAAATGATGTTTGACCTGTCATCATTATCATAGCGATACACTAACACATAATTATCGTTATCGTCATTTTCAAACTAACCCAAACATTACTTTATCATCCTTCATCAAATCTTTAGTCAATAACATCACATGCTTGAAATGAAATCTCATCTCATTCTAGCATTCAGTGTAGCAGTAATTATGGCGATGAAAATAATGACTGACCATGATGACATGTATCACAATGGACTTGACTGAAGAACTAAGTTCGAAAAAGAATTTCGACGAAATCAAAAAATCGCTATTTCGCTTACTGTAATAGAATTCAATTTATATCAAATGCCGAGAAAAATATTCCGTCGTATCCCACTGGGCACAAGTAAGTTCTTCAAAATGAAAAAGACTAGATGCAATCTTACGCGAGCACATTTTAAAACAATAAGCATGAATTAAGAATACTTGTTAAACAAAGCTCTGAAATAAAAGGTGCAAATGTTTCACTATTATATATCACCTGGGCACAGATATTATAGAATTATAAAAACAATATTACCACCGCATGTACTTATTTATGTGATACGACATGTACTTCAAGAAAGTATACTCAGCAAAATTTGGACTCACTTCATAGTAATAAATATTCAAGCCGAGGCTTTCACTGTTAAATATACATCAAACACTTTCGGATGTTGTTAAAACCAAAATCATAAGTAATGACAAAAAACGGAACCTTCTATAACAAAATTTCGAAAAATTTTCGGTTACGAAATGTAATGAAGCATATCGTAATTACATGGTTTGAGTTTGTTGTTTCATATGAATAAATTAAACTACCATAAATATGTACTAAATATAATATTTAACAGTATGATACCAAGCTATTAAAAAAATATACATATATATCCCGTAAAATAAGTCGGGTGAAATAAGAAAGATACAGAACAGGAAATAAAATGCTTGATACACAGTAAAATAAAAACAGATGAGAAAGAACAAAACAAAAATAAACCGATATAATGTTAATGTTTTTTGATGTTGAGAGCCGTTTATGACCCGTTATCACAAATAATAACTACTACAAAACATGCAACACACTATGTCACAAACCCTATAGTAATCCTTTTTTTGTATGTCAGTGTCTATGTTTGGGTACTTTAATATAAATATGAAGAAGTCAAATTACATTCATACATTTTGAAAAATATTAAACAATCATTATTTCACAAACCAATAACATCTCTTCACATAGTCTTTTTTACAAAAAAAGAATAGCATTAGCAAGTGCTCTGGTACAAATATGATGCTTACAAAACGATGATGAAAAATAAACGAGATAATGACAATAGCAATGATAATAGCAGCAATGGTAGTTTTAATAAGTTTATCAAGGATAGCAACAATAGCAACAGCAGCTAAAGTTGTCATCATAGTTGCAACACACTGGTAGTAATTAATGTTGTTTACAACAGAATACAACTAAATTACTAGCATATCAAGCTTGGACGTAAACGCAGTGAATATTAAAAAGGCATCTTGTATATGCACATACCTAATAAATAAATTCTTTAATGAAAGCAGAAGGAACTATTTAACAGTGATACATTATGAAAATGATAACGACGATAATCATGATAAATAAATCGTTCATGGGTCATACTAAATTGTACTCTTTCAAATTGTGCTGCAATATTGTATCCTTCACTGCTGCGAATACAAAACGTATATTCTCTGTGTCTGAAAATATTACATAAATGGTATATAATTCAAATTCAGTCCTTCTTCCTTACCACGTTCTTCTTTACTAAACTTGAAGTAAAAATTTCAACGCAATCCCATTGCTAAAATAACTTTTACACAATAAAACATTATTCTACTTCATTACTGAAAATGCTCACAGGTCTCACTGTAACATTTTCAAAAAAAAAATTTTTTTTTCTAGCTCGAAAATGACTTTTTCGAAAAAAAACTCACCAGTAGCACAAGTGAAATGTGAATAAATGATTTTATCCGCATCCGGATTCAAATCAACAAACATTTTCAATATGAACTCCCTTGCTGCAATTGGATCTCTCGAAGGACCTTAAAATTCAATCAATAACAGAAAATAATAACACTAATATCTTCTAAAAAGTACGGAATATAGCATATAAGCAAATTTTAAAGTATTCTCTATATTGCTAATCGATTATGAATGCTTGCAAAACTATTACAGTTTTACACCATATTTCCACAGAATTTTTGTGATCTTAATTAATAAAAAAGTACTAAAGTTAAAACACTAAAAGAGTACAAAACAGATGGGTTCAATATTGACCAGGAAATCTGGGAATCAAATTTATATAAATTTGAAATGAAAATTTTCAGTGCTTTTTTTTCCTTTACAACATAATTTGAAAATATTTTTGTTCTAATCATCACAAAAACCAAAAAATAACGCCTGAGGAGCACTACTGTTGAATATTCACAAAAAATTCAAAACAAAATTCAAAATTTTTCACAAAATTCCAAAAACCACATATTCCACTTAAAGAATCATTTAAAACATGATATTTCATGTTGATGAAAATAACTTTAATTTTTTTAGTTACATACTGTAAAAAATACACACTACAACAACTTTTGAAAATATAATAACAGACCATCATATTCCGGAAAATAATCGGAGAGATGTGAATAAAGTATTTTCTCCTCCAAGAGATCTCTCTTATTGAGAAATAAGATTACGGATGAATTCGTGAACCACGGATATGTGATAATAGTACGGAACAGTGCTTTCGATTCTTCCATGCGATTCTTAACAAAATTTCTCAATAATGATCTCATATAAGCATCAAATAAAATAAAATGAGTCAATGAGCAAACTATCTCAACAGTAGAAACTTTAAATTCTTTGCATATATGTCAAATTTCAAATTTCAGGTCATATTTGTTCAGTGAAATTCATTGATAACTTCTAGTTCGGAAAATGCAAAAGTTTCTGATGGTTGGTAAATGATATTTAAATGATAAGATCTTATTAATATCTTCAGAAATTTATTATATAAATTTTTTTCAAATCTTGTAAGATTGCCATTCAGTTAGAAAAAAAAGTTAAGCATCAATGAGCAATTTAACAAAGAGTATGGAAACGAAGATAAAAAATTGTTCTTGTCAGCAGGAACGAAATTATCAAAAAAGCTTACTTCATTGTCACACTCAACAAGCACTTGGTCGTATTCAGAAAGAGCTACCAGAAACATGATTGAGGTGACATTTTCAAAACAATGAATCCATTTTCGTCGTTCCGACCTTTGACCTCCAACATCTACCATTCTACAATTATTTCATTTCATGCTCAATAAATTATTTTTTCCCGCAGCAATTGTAATTAGATGCACAGCATCCAATTTATCACCTTTGAAATACAGAAAATCTTATTCTAAAATCAAGGAAAAAATAAGAACAATTGGCAATTTAGGAAATACCTGAATATAATTTGTTCCAAATCAAAGGGATATTCAATAATACCAGTAGTGGGAACACGAACACGCAAAATATCTTGTTCTGTTGGCAAGTAATTATGTGCTGCTAACCTCCTCAGATCAGAAAGGTAACTACAAAATGTGTCGAAAAATATGGCATGATTATTTTCATGATATCCAGACACAATAGCAACACTCACTTGCGTAAGTATTACAGCAAAGATTGTGTTTCAGAGAAGGATCACGATTAACTAAATTTCATTCTTTGATGGTATATACTTAATTCCTACTGACATGCGAGTACTGCATTACTAAGAACCTCATAATTTTGTAAAATTTATGCTACAATTGAGTAGCTTAGCAATGTGACTATCAAGAACATTTTTTCATGAAATAGCATTTTACTTCTAAACTCTTTAATGAATGCTTTCATTCCACAGCCATTACAACGAATTAATCATAGATAAATAAACGTAAATGATACGAACTATTAACGGTCAAGAGAAATGCAAAAATAAACACAAGACTAACTATTTGGCAGAATCGGTCAACTGGTATTCTCTTCGCCGATCATAACATTCCTGTATACCAAAATCGTTCCATAAATCTTCTATATAACTAACATATGGTTCTTCAAAAGATGTCACATTTTCATAATCTATTGCCCGAACTACGTTTGCTTTGTCTTGCAGCTAGAAAAAACTCAATATTTTTCAATGAAACTAATCACTATTCTAACATAATTTTCCTTGCCACTAACACATATTTAATAAAATTTTCCCAACAAGCAATTTAAAAAATTTTTTACTGAATAATTTTGCAACAGATTGCTTTTATTTTTGAATTCAGAAAAAGCGGTCAAAACAACTGTTGATTATGATATACTTTTCATATTCACTCTTTGTAAAGAGGGAACAAACGTTTTTCTGGATTACAAGATGAAAAACGAATACATCTAAAGAGTGATCGCCGTACGGAATATTGAGCGTATCCATGGCACGAATCATAGCTTGAATTGCCATGAAAATATTCTGATATACAAGGCGGATGTGAGCACGTTTGTCTTCATCGGAGTAACCATTACCATGAATAATCCGCATTTGTTTTATAAATGTTGACTTTCCCGATTCACCAGTACCTTAAAAAATAAATAATGATTGAGTAAGTCTCAAACACCTTTAGTAATGTAATTATAGTATATAGCATATCATTCAATAAGATGACTTTGTAAATTACATATGAACAGTGAAATGAGCGATACGTACACATACAATATACCAAAAAGCTATCCAAATGATCATTCATTCCCTCAGAATATTTGCATCAAGTTAATGTTAAATATGATGTATAATCGACGTTTCAGTCAGTTCAATACTTATTCCACGAGCAATCAACACAGATGACGACTCAGAACTTTTGAATTCTTCAGCTCCCACCTGTAATTATCCCTTCCTTGCATCTTAATGCAACCCATTTCAACCCGAAGAATTTTCCGTCTAGCATCACAACTAATCAATAAATCAATGATTTTCGTGAGGTCATTGACGTTCCCAAAAAGTTGTTGGATAAATTAATTCAGTAACTTGCATTAAGCAAAATCAGTTGGTCCCTGGTCCCTCTCTTGGCGAGCGGAGCAAAATCTCCTTCAGCAGGGTAATTTAAAATCCGTTTCCCATCCCCCTTGCTTTCATCGCTTCCATAATGCTGCACATTCCACTATAATTGTTACCAATAATACCAAATTCTGAATCCACTAACTATTTACATATACAGCTCAGTAACGAACTTACTTACCTTTCCTTCATTTACGAGAAAACAAATACCAAGTACACTAAAAAAAGTTTCTGTTCAAAAGAAATAGTTGAACGATTTAATATATTCGCCATTTACTCTCATTCAAGAGTCATCTTCTTCTTGAAAAAACTGTTTCGCAATTACGTAATCATTAATTTTTGTCTGGTTATTCTATATACCTCTTCGAGATAAAATTTTAACCGTAACTAATGCTAATATTCATACCGCAGATTTAAGACAATATATAATTGTTTAGAACAACTTGTTGCAGCGTTAATGTGTACAAAAAATAATTAATTGACCACTGTGCATTTGCTGATGTATATGTTGCGTTTAATGTATAGCAACTGATGAGTGGACAGATGTATACAGAAATAACATATATCAATATTATTTGTGTAATAAATATTGATATATGTTGTTTCAGTATATATCTATCTATAGATTAGTTGCATAGCTCTAATAAATATGTCAACTAAAAATTATTATATGCAATTAGTGATTAAGATCACTATTCGAATTACAATTTAATGAATCATTTATACTGTTTAATTTCAAGCTTAGTACTATTGAAAAACTAGAGTGTAAGCTTCCCTGACTCACAGATTCACTTAATCTTTCATTCATTCATTCACTCCCTCCTTTATCCACCCTCAATTTTTCTCATAAATAGAACAGGCACTTACATACATACACCCATACACTTAGGTATGTTATGTTATGTTATGTTATGCTATGTATGCTATATGTGCAGAACAGACAGTAAGGATAGATAGATAAATAAATAGCAGTAATGTGTTGAGGCAGACAAGGAAGGTGCGGTGGCTTAGGTACACAGGGCTGCTCCTTACTGCCTTCCTCACTTTTTCAAACATTAGCAAGAAAAAATAAATAAATATTGGAGAATTTTTTCTTCCGTATTTAATATCTCTGCGGCTTGCGAGCCAGACGCCAAGCCACGGATAGGCAAGCACCGCTGTCAGCATTCTCTCGTACTGCAATCAATTCCCGCACACTAAACCTCTGCCTCCTACTTCTCATCGTTCTAGCGTTTTTTAACTCATTACTGGCCAGTAGTACTAGTAGAAACATCCCAAACTAATCATACAGCTATTGATCCACTTTTAAAGACGAACTCGAAAATTTTGGCTCAAATATATATGCTCGGCTCTGCCCAGCTGCCGAGCGGTTGAGCTGCCAGCTATTCCATCGCATTATAAGGAAATGGAGGAAAAACGAAAAGAAACCAAACCTGGAATCAAAAATGGAAACAAGTGCGGTTTCAAAGAAAACTCAAGGGCATAGCAAGGCACTCGACCTGTACAGAAGCCAGCAAAACTGAGTGCCGGTGAGTGCAGTGAGAGTGCCAAAAAATCCAACGCGAGAATTACGAAGACAAAAACAAAAAAGATTGACCTCCGATTAAAAAAAAAGACTGACAATATTCTGCACATGGCTATATATATATAGTCATGTGTATTGTACCTTCTTATATATTCTGGATAATG